GGAAAGAGAAGGGAGGAAATCAGTAAACGCATAGCAGGAGAGACGCGATATTGAATTAATTGTTAACGGAAAGCGTAAAAATCACAAGACATTCAACACAAGTTGGAAAACTCGAGATTAAAAAGAAGAAACAAGAAAAGAGGGGACAAAAAAACACATTTATCTTTAGGAACTTTGCACACAGTTGGCGCAACTCGTAAAATGAGCAAAAAGGAAGAAAAAAAAGAAGCAAAAAACGACATTTCGTCGATATCGCATGTCTTAGGATTTTCTCGCTGTCTTAGAGTAGTAAAGTAGTTACTAGTTTTACTATATTATATGTATGTTTCGTTTGTGTTTTTCCCCTGGTGAAACTGTTGAGGCTATTATAAAAATATTTGGATGTGAGTCATGTTTTTACGTTAAGTCTCATTTCTCTCTTTTTTCTTTTATTATCATTATTATTAATATTACAATGTGCTTGTGCATTGTATTTATATATATGTTGTTTTTGCGTTGGATTTAAGTCGTTAAACTTATATTGATGGTAATATAAGGATAACACGAGCGTGTCAAAATTCAAAATTGTCGTCATGTTCTCAGATTTGATTTTAATTGACTGATTGTTTGATTTCTTGGAGAGAAAAAGAGAGAGAGAGAAAGAAAGAAAGGGGGGAGCCTGTCATATCACACATATGATACGGATAGGAATGGACGGACGGACGAACGAACGAACTAACTAACTAACTAAAGAAAGAGGACCTTAGGGCGATAATCACTTCTGCAAACTGATAAAATAGGATATTTGTATAATCAAACCGCGCGCATGGAATCGCGGGAGGAGGGGGGAGGAATCGCGTTAATCGATCCCTCTTAAATATATAGGTTGCATTTTTTTAATGTTGTTATCGCGCGTGTATCAACGAGCGGGTGAAAGCCTCGCTTGCATCCCCCGCGAGTGTGAAATGTTCCTTTTTAAAATAACGAGGAGAAGAGTTGAGCGACATATGTTGTTCTATACAGAGACTCTATACACGTTAGAGATGTATGCGTTATATAGCTCATATTGCTCACATTCCGTGCAGAAGTGATCTCCCTTCAACCCCCCGCCTTCTCCCCCCGCGAAAGAAGTAACTAAACTCGAACTTTGCTGCGTATGCTGGCCAAGGGCTCAACCATCCATAGATATTATATTTTTTACAGAAGTGTTCATAGATTGAGCCAACTTGGCGCGGCGCCGACGATGTGTCGCACGCCCTCCCTCTCTCTCTCTCTCTCTCCGACGATCTCTGTGAGAACGAATTAATTAAAGGAGAAAAAAAAAAAGAAAAAATGTGATAATGATTATTCATGAAATAATAGTTAAAAAAAAACTTAAACAAAATAGCACAATCGCTGGGCATTATTTACAAAGTGCTAGCAAGCCTAATGTCAGCAGCCTTGTCGTATTTGGTATTTAAAAAAAGAATGAAGTTTGAAGACGCCGAATGTTATACAGACGGATTTCTTCTTCTTTGCTCTTCTAAAGAATCGTAAACACGGCTAATATATACGATTGTTCGTCGCGCGCGCGAAAACGATGGAATGTCTCGAATTTGTCCGATATTCGGCGTCCTCGTATTTCATTGCATAGACGATAATTTTGTGAAGCGTACTTATGATCGACGCGAGTCACGAGCCCAAAACAAAAGGATAGACAATTCCAATCTTTGTGACTCTGTGAAGTTTCGATTACTGCCGACTACTATGTATCGATAGCGAACGATCTTTTGCAATAGACGAAACGTATATTCCTCCTACAAGGCCTGAAACATTTGTATTCTATAAGCTGGATTTTTTATACATAAACACACAGACATATAACATATATATATATATATACATATACGCGCTTTGGGCTCGTGGTCGCAAGTGTGATAAGATACGCGAAGGAGTATTAATACGATACACACATATCCACACGCAACATATAGAAGCAGCAAGGTAATAGGATTATTACATTTAATACACTACCTCAAATCAATAGAAATATGGATTTACAGTAATAAAAGAAAAATAAATTCCACAGCGGACAACTTATAATTTTTTTTTTTTTTTTTTTACACGTACCGGCCACCGACGTTATTTTTTACGGGACCGCAAAATCTCCATCGCTTGACGCTTCGTCGAGAGATGCACTTAAATAGATATTTATTCGTCTTGAGTATGAATTCTCGCCTATCTATGATAATCCTGAGAGACACGAGAGTAAAGAGAGTTTTATTAATTTTGTTAACAAGGAATTCCGTGAAAATTCGTATTTCCATCTGTTGATTCTGTATAGAAGAATGCAACTAATATTTAAATTCCTTTGTCCATTCCACAAGTCTGTTTCAGTACAAAAGAGAGAGAGTGATGATACAATATATATAGCTGGGAAAGAAACCGACATGCAAAGTTCAGTGATCGATTTTGTGCACTCGAAGATCCACACTGTGTTTCTCAGGATTAAAAGAGAGACGGACCTACAAATGTACAAATGTATTAGAAAAGTGTATTGTGTGAGAGCGTTGCCGCTGCGGATTTTTAAAAGAAGTAGTCCTTCAAATCCAACAACGCTGCCGAATGCCGAACTGAAAAAAAAATGAAAGAAAGAAAAGTATTAAGAAGAAAAGTATCTTTGCAGCAGAGACGAGATGATGATAGGGATGATTTATTGACTACATTCATAGTCTTTGAAGAGAGAGAGAGTACGATGTTTAATTTACATATTGGTGAATTTATCTCTCTGTAATTTTGTGTATACTATATAAATGACAATTCTCAACGTATGTGAGCGAGAGAAATAGTTGCGAGAAAGAAGAGCGAGAGAAAAATAAAGTGAGAGAGAGAGAGAGAGAAAGATCTTGTACATTTACAAATTGTGGTTATTACGAATGAATTATGATTATTAATTATTATTATTATTATCACGGATTATACTATGATTATTATTATCATCATGTAGAATGCTTCTTACTGACTGAATAAAATGTTTTCAATGTCACGAAATGCCTATTGCATATTTCATATTTGCTCAACTGTTATTCCAATATAGCAAAAGAAAAAGAACTTATATATTAAAGAAATAAATTAATATGATGATAGTGATTTAATTTTTTATTTGGAAATTTAAAGATAATACTAAATTTTCATATTATTTTTATTATGTCTCCATAGGTATTTGCAATTAGATCATTGAAGTAGAATAAAAGGCAATACGTATTATATATATACACAAGTTTCAATATTTTTAATGCTTCAACTCTCTCACTTTGTGACAAAAACATTTATAGAAATATTTTATATACAAGACAGTGCATAAAATACAAATATGCACTATATTCTTCCTACATCTCTATACTCCTACATCTTTCTTTTCTCAATATTTTATAAATGTATTACAGAGTAGCAAAAAATGTTATATATAATTCAAAATTAATAAAATATATATTTAAATGAGTTTTAAAACATATTGGAGAAAGTTAATTTTATATGTGAAATATTCTGTATTATTAGAAAGAAAGAAATGGAGAAAGAGACTTTGTGTTAATCACTGATTAAATATTCTACTTTTAATTCATCCAAAATAGTTTTCATAATTGCAATTTTCTTATGTTTTTGCCAGACTTTCTTCTGTAAAACTTGTATTTGTTTACGTAAACTTTTAATTTCTGTCCATCTTTCTTGTCTAATTGTTTCCATATTGGAGAAATTCATATTCCATATTCTTTCAGGTGAAATTCTTGTTTCCTTGTCCTCAGTTGATTTTCGCGCTTCTCGTGGTAAGGAAGGCAATGTATTTGTTTCTTTGTCACATACTGAATCTGCGATATAAATTATTGTTAACACACACATTTTACAATTATTTATCAATAAATATGTAATTTGTCAAACTTACGGATAACAGAATCTTGTTTAAAACTATCATCCATCTCCATCTTTATATTTAAAGGCTCAGTCAAAATTGTTGCTGAAATAAATTGATTTAATTTTATTATGTTATCAAAAAAACTAACAATTTATATCAATAAAAAAATTTACAATCTTACAACTAGAAATAATGTATAAAAGAATAAAATGTTTGTAATAAAGTTATACTTTTAACTGATTGTGCAGGTAACGTATCTCTTTCACATTTTATAGTTGTTTCAATATCGTCACACAATGTTTCCTCAAATATCTGTAAAAAGATACATCGATCAGAATTATAATTTTATACCATTTTCTTAAACCTTACGAAAATATCAATTATACATTTACACATTTATACTCTATATTTTTGTATATTTTATGTATACATATGTACATATATTTTTATATAAAAAAGATTAAAATACTTGCATGTGGAATGGCGTTTTCTCTCAATCTTACATATACTAAAGATGTACGATCTATATATTTTTCCTTAAAGTGAAGAGAGCAAAGACGACTTCTAGTAGTAATATTTTTGTCTTCAAGTTTCATTATTCTTATCCATTCTGCTCTTCTAATAGGATCGGAAGGAAATCTGCAAAACATGATAATACATATTTATTTATTATACGTGAAGAGCGATATAAAGCAATCAATCTTTTTTTGTTTGTATAACAAGGTTTCTTAAAAATACAATAAACCAAGAAAAAATATAAAAAAGTGAAGAATTAACTAGAATTACTTATGAAACCTTATGAAATTTCTTTTTCTAATATTTTCTGATATACAATCTATGTCAATATAATTTTATACTCACGAGTGAAACGTTATTTTCATTACTTTCTCGAATTTCATTTGCGCTGCAGTTTTTCCACTGGGACTAGCGGTGTTTCTACATCCAATAGCAACGCAACGAGTAGGCATTTTATGTATATATGCGTATGTTATGAAAAATATGCAAATAAATTATTTTGACAGCTACCGATGATGGCCCAAATAAGAGACCGAAACAATTAATAAATCACATTTAAAGAAAAAGAATATGCGCTCTGATTATCGGCGCTTAGCTCTAAATTAGCTCGTTACTTCTGTTTATGCATATTCAATATTCAGATTATCATATTCTTCAATTTCGTTTTTAAACTATTTTGGTTGCACACAATCAAGAGTATCAGCAGGTTTCAGTGGCGTATATACTTCGCTATAATAAGGGGGGGATATCGTTACTTGTTTATATTTCCTACAATTCCTTTTCTATGGGTTTTTAAAATAAGGAATTAAATTTGTACACGAACTTGTTTACATTCATATGACACACTTTTATAATCAATAAAAAAAAAATAGAATAAACTCCTGTGAAATTTAATTCTTTATTTTTTAAATATCCTATGTATAAGATTAATAATATTTTATATATCATGTAACACGCATCTTACATCATCAACGTAAATATTAAAAACGATATAAAATTTATAGATTTCATAAGAAGCGTTTTGTATTTTTTTTAAATTTAAGTGCCTTCAGCCTATGAGTAGCTATTCAGCACAAGACACAAAACCACTCCAAACACGAGTCTACGAAGAAACATATGTCATTCGCATATGCGCATATTGCAATACCTTCAAGCCATGTCAACATTATGACGTAGCCAATCACGTTCGTTACTTTATCTTTCTCTTTTCAGGCTCATTTTCAGAATACACTTTGATCTCGTTCATGAAAAATATTCCTCTCTCACTCCATTCTCATAATTCATGTTCGTTTGCCACGCTTCCCAACACCCTAACAATTGTTTACAATAACTGGATCGCGTTGACAGTTAATTTAATAAACTGCAGAGATTACAATTTTTTTTTATTTGCAAGATGATTAGCGAGAACTTTATGCGTAATTGGCATAACAGCTGAATTGTATATTTATATATCTTTTTTTCAACGTAATACATCTTTGCGCTTTTAATAGATCTGTGTTATTTCGATGACATGTTGCCAAATAATACGTTTAACAACCGGGAATTTACGATCTGTGTTATTTTTAAGACAATTTTCTTCTTCGACTCATATTGCGAGGTAAAATTATCTCTTTGACTTGTCATTAGGTTTAATCCAACGTGCTTCAAGTATTATTTATTTGAATTATCCTTTGCAGTTTTATTAATTATCGTTTGCGGTTTTTCGAAGAGCACATTATTGTCAAGGGATGACTGGATGCTGAGAGATTGCCGAGAATCTTAAAAAGATCGATCGAACATGGATCAGATCATCGACATAGACGACGTTGAGGATGGGATGCGCTCTTCCAAGGGTACAGCGGTCAGTTGCGTCAACTCAAACTCGATATGCTACGTCGCGATCACAATCGCGACCCTGGCCTTCCTCGGCGCCATAGTTTTCGTCTGCAGGGACTACATCAAGGTGCTCCTCTACTGGATCGAGCATCAGAACGCCTGGATGATCACCGTCATCTTCATAGGCCTGTTCACGGTGGTGTCGTTCCCGATCGTGATCGGCTATCTGTTCCTCATCATCGCCAGTGGCTACTTGTTTGGCGCCATGCACGGCATAGCGATTGTCATACTCTCCGCCAATCTCGGCATAGCCATAGCTCATGTCACTTTGGGACTGCTGTCCACCAGGCTGCCGATAGGTGCTCTCCTGCAGAGCGACACGGCGAGGGCGATACTCCGCGTCATCTCCGGGCCTCAAGCCTTCAAGATCGTGCTGTTCGCGCGACTCACTCCAATTCCTTTTGGTCTTCAAAACACTATTTTTGCGGTATGTAATATATAATACATATATATTACAGAGTATATTTATATATGTACATATATAATATACATACTTATATATGTGTGTGTGTAATTTTAGGTCAGTAACATAGGTGGTTTTCATTATCACATAGCGAGCGCGATAGGTTTGTTGCCGGCGCAATTAATCAACGTCTACTTGGGCAGTAGTTTGAGATCGATGCAAGATGTGCTGGAGGATAGATCCACGGCCGCGACCGGCTACATAGTTTTTTGCATCCAGGTGCATTTATACGGTTTTGTAAAAAAGTTACATCCAAAGTAATAATCTCTTTTCATAATCTTATCATTGTTATTACAGATATTAGTGGGACTCTCGCTAATGGTTTATATCGTCCAAAAAGCGCGAAAGGAGCTTCAGCTGACGTTGTTTAAAGCTGATCTCGCGTCCGTGGCAAATTCTCCTCATTACATTCTTGATGGTCTGCCAGACTCCAAGATAATCCTAACAAATCTAATTGCGTGAATTTTTTTTACGCTTAAATTATAGGCAATTGCACTACAATCTTTTGCTTACTACAAACATAGTACAGTTGAGATTCTTTTTTTATATTATTGATATTTTTTCATCTCTCTCTAGCGTTCCCTTATATACTTCCAGTATTTCGCTAACTTACCAGTGGTGCTTCTAAAAATCTAGGGTTTGGAATCTAGGCATTGTTGTACGTGAATCCGTAACAGATATAATATGTATTGAGTCTTACCAAAGTTTTAACATAATTTTAATAATAAACACTCAAAGTTGAACGGAGCACGTAATGTTATCGATGTGTAAGCACGTATATTTTCGTAAATAATAATGGATGAAGCACAAGGGAAAGTCAACGCTACTGCGAATACCAGTGTATAAAGCTTCCTTGCAATAAGAGTGTATTATATAATTTATATATTGCTCACATACACATATATACATTTAACATTAATAATAGAGACTGAGAAACTTTACACTTATACCTTTTACATGTTATTTAATCAATTATTATTGGTCTCTTTCAGTTCTTCAAATCCAATTGTTAACATAATGTTAATATTTATGCATTTGTCTGTCTTCTCATGCGATATATATTGCATTTGTATATTATACATATATATACACATATAATTATATATA